CTTGCTGTTCTCTCTTTTTTAAATTGTCTATATACTTTTAAAAAAAAAATTTAAATTATTATTCGCATGTTCTTGTACAGTAAGAAGGAAAGATGTGTGTTATTACTGATTTGTAGCATAATTCTGTAGGATTGGGGAGGGCTGGGGAAGGGAAGGGAATGAGGGGTTGTTTTTGTAAAAATGAAAAAAAATCATTTTCATTATTTTCATTGTTTGTACTTGACCTTGTCACACGAATAAAAACATTAAAAAAAAAAAAAAAAAAAAATAAGACAAGGACCTTTTTAAAAAACTGTCAAATGCAAGCACAAAAGCAAATACACGGTCTTGGCTAAAGAAACTCCCACCCCAGGTGGGCCACTGGCGAGACGTCATGGAGGAGATTCACTCTATGGAAAAACTGACATATCTTTTACGTATGAAAGGACATTCTTACAACAAACGCTGGTCTAAATGGCTGACGTACAAGAGCAAGGAAGCATAACTAGGTGTATCATCTTGTAATGTATTATTTTGTTTCTGTCTTTCTACTTATCTAAGTATCAGTGCCCCAAATTCTGTGTGTGTTGTATGTTTTATTGTAATGAAAAATGTTAAATAAAGAGTATTAAAAAAAAACTAAACCGTGATGCAACAATCCCGCCTCTGTAGTTTGTGGTCGTAGTATTCAACAGTCATTGTGGTCATTCAGGAAAACAGACTTCAGATATGTAAGATAAAATATACTTTAAGCGTGTCAATGATAACACCTTTATCAAAAATAGATTCAAACATATTCTATTATATTATGTATTATGTTCTAAAATGTAATTGAATGAAAAAGATTATTGTTTTTTTCTAATTGGAGTTTCATCTGGAGGTTGTAAAAGTGGGAGGCAGAGGCCCCTCTTTCCGGTCCACAGCGGTGGTTCTGGTTCTGATGGAGGTTTTTTCCTGTTCAAAGGGAGTTTTTGCCTTCCACAGTCGCCTCGTGCACGCTCAAGAAGAGGACTGGGTCCAAGTGAAGTGTCAGAATAATCTGTTGGTTTTCTCAGCTGTGCGCTGTTTTCATTTAACTGGTTCTGCATGAATTTGACCCATTTGGAATCTAATTAACGGGATTTCTATTGAATTATGATTCTGAAAGAAGTATTCTGATAATACTGGAAATGGATTATATCTTTGATGAGCCTAAAGATGATGCATGCTGTGATTCTACCTAATCATGAATACATTTAATACCAAACAATGACTTTCAAACTTCATTAAACCTGTTTTAGTCTGTTTTTTCAAGAATTTAGAGGTGGCTCAAGACTTCAAGACTCAAGATTTCTGCTGTTTGTCACAACCCAGAGGACGATCAGCTCCTCTCCTCTAACACAAAAGCCTAAAAACTGAAAAACCGAGCAGAGAAGAGCAGCCTGGCTCCTTTAAATCTCCAGATGGGAGGAGTCCGAGCTGCGGAAGCCTCTGCCTGTGCCCAGAGAGGCGTTTCTCCGTCTGTCAAACGTCAAATTTGACACACTGAGCCGGAGCGTCCTGGTGCGTCGTGGAGGGTCTGGATCCAGCGGGAGTGATGTCGGAGTCGGTGAAAAACGTGGCGATCTTCGGGGCCACGGGGATGACCGGGCAGGCCACCGTGCCGCTGGCCGCGGCTGCAGGTGGGACGCGCAGCGGTCAGCTGGAGTTTTGGTCACCTGTGCGCGCGACCCGCGTCACGGCGTGGGGTCACCCACAAAGTCCGAACCGAGTTCCGTTCAGACTTAGAGCCCAGAATAAGGGATTTAATATCTGTTTTTTGGGGTGAGAATGACTCGGTCACACAGTTCCATCCGGGTCATGATGATTAATTCTTCTGACAATGACCGGTTTGCGTAAAGTTTTGTTCCTCCTGCGTGAGATTTCTTAATCTGATACACACTGGTGGCATAAAA